AAGAAGTAACAAATGATATAGAAGTACAAGACCAGCAACAGGAAAGTTTATATATAATACGACTGGACAGAAGTAGTACAGATTTATATAAGATTAAAACATAATATGTAATAAACAAATCAAACCGTCAAGTTAATAAGACAACGTAAAATAGACCAGAGAGAGACAGACCAAAAAAATTAACATACTTGAAACTACGCTTTGGTAGAATGCAGAGAAAGTAAAAATATCAATGGAATATAATCCAGTTACCAACATCACAAGAAGGTCTGGAGTGCATGAGAGTAAATATTTTGGAATAACGTATTCATACTTCCACTCAGACAGTTGAAAGTTGAAACTATATGAAAGGAAATGTTTTGATCTATATTGTTCAGACGTTTAGTGAGAGGCACAGACACTACAGAGTGATGATGTAGAAAAGGTGAAAACAGGGTAACTACTATGCAGAAAAGCCAAATAAGGTTACAGATCCAGAAGAGAGAGGATTTAAAATGTGCAGCAGAGGGATTGGATGGTACTCGAACAAGCAAGAAAATATGGTCACACACACATGCCAGTCACGACAATAACTGCACCCTTCACCACCACTGGAGCTACAACACTCACCAGCGCTACAACCACCGGTAGAGGTCAGAAAAAGCTCAAAACACCTGTGAACAATGAAGGGGAACACCAGTAACCAACTTCCCTGAAAAAAACTACCTAACAGTCTCCGTGGTGTAGTGGTAAGACACTCGCCTGGCGTTCCTCGAGCGCTTTGTCATGGGTTCTTATCCTGGCCGGGGAGGATTTACTGGGCGCAAATCCTTAACTGTAGCCCAGTTTAACTCAACAGTAAAATGGGTACCTGGTTGTAAAAACGATTCTTCGTGGGGGTCGTATTCTACGGACCATAGGATTAAGGACCTGCCCGAAACGCTACGCGTACTAGTGGCTGTACAAGAATGTAAGAGTTCTTGTATATATCTCAAAAAAAAAAAACTGTAAAAATAACTTAGAGCGACCTTATTGATCTTTCTTGCAGACAATACTTAATATCACTACACGGGAACGTTGTACCTCAGTACCAAGAAATTCACCAGGAAATAAAAAGAACATCGCCACCAGCTGGTTCAGATCCTTACTGGGTAATTCCCCCTAGTGATTGTGAAACAGGAAACAGTCAGTATACATAGATCCCCGAATGTGGATCCCCAGTTATCCGAAAGGAAGGATGAGATTTACTTTAAAGTGTGGATTAACTCAACAAAATTAATTATATGAAGTATTATATAACCGAGGTTACTTGTAGGACCGCATAGGCGCCTAGCACAAAGCCTGGGTTTTTGAACACAACAAAAGAATATAAAATTGAGGGGAAATTCCTAAACACCATAAATCACTCACAAGTTTATTGAAACATAAATAGTTTTAAGGGACTTTACATAGAATGAACACTCCCTTACTGAAAACTTCATAATTGAAATTATTCCTAAGTGGGGTGACTGACTCTAAGATGTGGACAATATTAACGGCACGTGTACTCTGGACAATACATTACCTTAAACACAAGCCAAGCCAGATGTTGATTGACCTGCCTCTGGGGAGAGATTCTTGCTCCCAAGATGTCCCAAACCACACTGACTCCTTGTCCTTGACCCAACTTCCAGCAGCTACCCAAGATTACTCCGCCCGTCTCACTGAATGCCTGACCACTTATCCTGGTTAATTGACAAAGCTAATCCTATTCAAACTGAAGGTAATTATATAGACATTAACCATGATTAATTATTAATTCACATTTTGAATGTCCCATGAATTTACCAATTTATATGAGTTAATAAACAAGATGATAAGTACATATTTTCCACAAGTTTGGATATTCTTTGAACTGGAATGAGGTCACAAGGCTCATCAGAGAGTAGTTCTTATTCTAAATGAATTCTCTGCCCCTTTTCCCTTAGCCTTGTTACTTTTTAACAGGATCCTTACTGTATATCTTGATCCCTGTCTCAGATATATAATATTATCAAAACTAAGTAATAACCTTGCACATGATAAATTAACGAAGATGGCGTCTGGGAGGAGAGGAAGGGTGAAGGTGTAGGGGTGAGATGCAGGCTTGGTGGGGAATGGGGGGGGGGGAATTCCACAAGCATCCTGTACCCTTGGTCGTCTCTACATGTTCCCTAAGCTACTCTTTATTCTAAATTGATGTTAAATTAACATAGGTGCTTAGGAAAGGTTGATTATACTACAATTACTTTAATACATGCATTTTTGTAACTTATCTTAGTGAGTGAAACAAAACGTGTTTGGCAAATCTGACTAATCCCCCCGCCGTAGCCCTTGGGGAACCTTTTCTAAAAACTCAGGTAGTCAGTACCACTGACACCCATCCTAGATAGTGTCCCCTGTATGATACCATATAATACAATCTCTATAAGCTTCTTAGCCAGCTTAGCTTGTTACAGCTAGCGTGTATCATAGGTTTGCTAGTAAGAAGCGAAGGTTCGCTAGCGTGTAGGTCAGCTATCTTGTGTCGTAGGACTACTAGTGTGTACCTTTGGTCCGCTACCTTGTGTCTTAGGTCTGCTACCTTGTGTCTTAGGTCCGCTACCTTGTGTCTTAGCTCCGCTACCTTGTGTCTTAGCTCCGCTACCTTGTGTCTTAGATCCGCTACCTTGTGTCTTAGCTCCGCTACCTTGTGTCTTAGGTCCGCTACCTTGTGTCTTAGGTCCGCTACTTTGTGTCTTAGGTCCGAGATCTTGTGTCTTAGGTCCGCTACCTTGTGTCTTAGGTCCGCTACCTTGTGTCTTAGGTCTGCTACCTTGTGTCTTAGGTCCGCTACCTTGTGTCTTAGCTCCGCTACTTTGTGTCTTAGGTCCGAGATCTTGTGTCTTAGGTCCGCTACCTTGTGTCTTAGGTCCGCTACTTTGTGTCTTAGGTCCGAGATCTTGTGTCTTAGGTCCGCTACCTTGTGTCTTAGGTCCGCTACCTTGTGTCTTAGGTCTGCTACCTTGTGTCTTAGGTCCTCTACTTTTTGTCTTAGGTCTGCTACCTTGTGTCTTAGGTCTGCTACCTTGTGTCTTAGGTCTGCTACCTTGTGTCTTAGGTCTGCTACCTTGTGTCTTAGGTCCGCTACCTTGTGTCTTAGGCCTGCTACCTTGTGTCTTAGGTCCACTACTTTGTGTCTTAGGTCCGAGATCTTGTGTCTTAGGTCCGCTACCTTGTGTCTTAGGTCTGCTACCATGTGTCTTAGGTCTGCTACCTTGTGTCTTAGGTCCGCTACCTTGTATCTTAGGTCCGAGATCTTGTGTCTTAGGTCCGCTACCTTGTGTCTTAGGTCTGCTACCTTGTGTCTTAGGTCTGCTACCTTGTGTCTTAGGTCCGCTACTTTGTGTCTTAGGTCCGAGATCTTGTGTCTTAGGTCCGCTACCGTGTGTCTTAGGTCCGCTACCTTGTGTCTTAGGTCTGCTACCTTGTGTCTTAGGTCTGCTACCTTGTGTCTTAGGTCTGCTACCTTGTGTCTTAGGTCTGCTACCTTGTGTCTTAGGTCTGCTACCTTGTGTCTTAGGTCTGCTACCTTGTGTCTTAGGTCCGCTACCTTGTGTCTTAGGTCTGCTACCTTGTGTCTTAGGTCTGCTACCTTGTGTCTTAGGTCCGCTACCTTGTGTCTTAGGTCCGAGATCTTGTGTCTTAGGTCCGCTACCTTGTGTCTTAGGTCCGAGATCTTGTGTCTTAGGTCTGCTACCTTGTGTCTTAGGTCCGCTACCTTGTGTCTTAGGTCTGCTACCTTGTGTCTTAGGTCTGCTACCTTGTGTCTTAGGTCCGCTACCTTGTGTCTTAGATCCGAGATCTTGTGTCTTAGGTCCGCTACTTTGTGTCTTAGGTCCGAGATCTTGTGTCTTAGGTCCGCTACCTTGTGTCTTAGGTCTGCTACCTTGTGTCTTAGGTCTGCTACCTTGTGTCTTAGGTCCGCTACTTTGTGTCTTAGGTCCGAGATCTTGTGTCTTAGGTCCGCTACCTTGTGTCTTAGGTCCGCTACCTTGTGTCTTAGGTCTGCTACCTTGTGTCTTAGGTCCGCTACTTTGTGTCTTAGGTCCGCTACCTTGTGTCTTAGGTCCGAGATCTTGTGTCTTAGGTCCGCTACCTTGTGTCTTAGGTCCACTACTTTGTGTCTTAGGTCCACTACTTTGTGTCTTAGGTTCCAGATCTTGTGTCTTAGGTCTGATACCTTGTGTCTTAGGTCCACTACTTTGTGTCTTAGGTCCACTATTTTGTGTCTTAGGTCCACTACTTTGTGTCTTAGGTCCGCTACCTTGTGTCTTAGGTCCACTACTTTGTGTCTTAGGTCCACTACTTTGTGTCTTAGGTCCGCTACCTTGTGTCTTAGGTCCACTACTTTGTGTCTTAGGTCTGATACCTTGTGTCTTAGGTCTGATACCTTGTGTCTTAGGTCTACTTTGTATCGTAGGTCTGATACCTTGTGTCTTTGGTCCGCTACCTTTTGTCTTAGGTCTGATACCTTGTGTCTTAGGTCTGATACCTTGTGTCTTAGGTCTGATACCTTGTGTCTTAGGTCCGCAACCTTGTGTCTTAGGTCTGATACCTTGTGTCTTAGGTCCGCAACCTTGCGTCTTATGTCTGATACCTTGTGTCTTAGGTCTGATACTTTGTATCTTAGGTTCATTTCATTGTGTCTTAGGTCCGCAACCTTGTATCTTAGGTCTGCTACCTTGTGTCTTAGGTCCGATACCTTGTGTCTTAGGTTCATTTCATTGTGTCTTTGGTCTGCTACCTTGTATCTTAAGTCTGCTACATTGTGTCTTTGGTCCGCTACCTTGTGTCATAGGTCTGGACGGCCCAATGTGAACTGCCTTTCTCATCGGTGTAATCGCATGCTTGCATCACCTCTGTGAAAATAAATCGTCATTAATTAGGTGGACAGTACACTGGGTTCCATTAGGATAACACCCATCCACCTGGGAATTGAAATTGTAACTTGTAGCCACAACCTAGATTGCGTGATCTCGATACCCCACCCACCAGAGGTCAACATCATCGACCTCCTCTTCTGACTGAAGCAGAAAACTGGAGCCACCGATACCACGCCACCACCAACATGGCTTTGGGTATGTAGCATCCAATACTGGGGAGTTGGAGTGCAGAACCATGGTTGGCGCTGAAATCGCCACTTCATACTCCAGCGACGGTGTCGATACTGTACCAGATGTGAACACGATGTAAAGTGAACACTGATGAAATGTGAACACTGGTGTAATGTGAACAGCAGGTGGTGGGCGGGAGAGTGTGAAGAGAGCAGGTGGTGGGCGGGAGAGTGTGAAGAGAGCAGGTGGTGGGCGGGAGAGTGTGAAGAGAGCAGGTGGTGGGCGGGAGAGTGTGAAGAGAGCAGGTGGTGGACGGGAGAGTGTGAAGAGAGCAGGTGGTGGGCGGGAGAGTGTGAAGAGAGCAGGTGGTGGGCGGGAGAGTGTGAAGAGCGCAGGTGGTGGGCGGGAGAGTGTGAAGAGAGCAGGTGGTGGGCGGGAGAGTGTGAAGAGAGCAGGTGGTGGGCGGGAGTGGGCCACCCACAGCACGCACCAACCCCTCTCCACATTCATCACACATCAGATACCCGTAATTAAGACTCCAACTTTTTTCCACTAAGAGTGAGAGATTCCCCCAAGGACGTGTCTCCTGGATCTCAGTATTCATACTAAGGCTGCATGAATCCTGTGACGGACTGACTCAGTGTATTAAGGCCATCACACGCACGCAGCCCGGCCCTGCCCCGCTATCACGCCTTCTAAAATAATAACAAGTATGAATAATTTGTATTTTGGTGGATATTATATGTTTCAATTTTTTTTATTAGAATTTTTTTGTCAGTAGTGGTTGATGTGAAAGACATATACTGAAGTGTATACTGTAGAGATACATCTGTTTATGTTCCCCACGCTCCAATGATCACTGGTATAGTGTCATATTTCTGTACTGAAATACTTACGGACCTTTGGTGTGAGGGAGAGAGATCGCTCACCCAAAGTTCATGTTGTAAAATGTTACTTGCAATGTGCTTGCATTGTGCAACTTCTTTACATCTCATCCGTTATGGGTCGTGTTTGGTGTCTACAGATTCCACATGCAGAGCGGAATTCAAGTGTTGCCAATGTTGACCTAGGTCATCTCATTGAGCCGAAATGGATTAAGATGAGTGTCAGTAACAGGTGGCAAGGTCCTCATGGGTAAGGGTTATTTTGAGCGACAAGGTATTAATTGGTTTGGGAATATGTGGCTAAATCTGTATAATTGTATGTGTACTGTATATTATAGTATTTTGAAGCAGACTGTATCGCATAGATAAATTTAATTTCCACACAATTCGAGAGTGAGGGCTGTTTATTATGTTGATTCTGACAGAACAGGAATGGGACTTGTTTGATATTATTCAAGTTTAATGTGTTCTAATTAATTTAGTAGCATTTAATTCCTGTTATACATGCATGAGGTTAGTTCATGTTACTTGTCTTAGCTGGTCATATGAATCATAATGGAGGGTTTTAATTAGGGTCATCTAAACTCCGACAACTCTATTCACGCCGCTGTGTGATTGACCTCGTCTCGTGGTCAGTGATGATGCTCCCAAGGGAGTGTAAACTTCAGCTTCAACTGCCGACAGTGTAGAGTTAAAGAGTGAATACACAGTTTATGTTGATATTCTCACTGTTTACACTTTATTAACGTTGATTTGCTTTACACTCACGTATTTAGTTTAGTTTTCATTCCAGTAACCGGCCCATTCACCTTCTAAACACTATAAACACAGTAAATCCCTGAGGTTGCTTAGCATTATTTATGGGTCGGATCATAATACGTAAAACGTTAACTTCTGGACGGTCTTCTTACATTAAGAGAGGCATTATCATCCAATAGATGGTGAGCTTGTCAACCCGTGTGTCGTAGCGAGTCAGCTGACCGTACAGGATGACCTTCGCCCTCCACAACTCACATATGTGTGTGAAGTTAGCGACGGATTTTCAAATCAGAGTTTGCTATTATTTCAGGTCATAAGATTACCATTATTTGAATATTAAAATCGACGTTTTAAAATGTTAACTCTTATTTCTTTCAGTTTCATTAATAATGAGAATTAACAGTTAAGTAGCTTTATCGTCACTTAACAAAGTGGCAAGAATCCAGCAGAATTATGGTGCCAGATTTAATAATGTGGCTACTGTGCATTTTAGTTAAAGTCATTAATTATGAACAGAGAACAAATCCTCTTAGCTATATATTAATAAAAATATGTGTTACGTAGGTAATTATATTGTATGAGGGAAATGTTTCCCACATTGGGGGACAGAGGAGACACCAGGCTTCACTCATTTACCCCCCTCCCCCCTACTGACCGCAGCACCTCCATTTACACTCTTTTAGACCACATGACACATAAGCGCCTGTGTGTCAGGTGCTTATGTGCGCCGATAGTTTACTTTAAAAGTTTACACACATAAGCGCCGATAGTTTATAGTCGATAGTTTACACACAAGTGCCGATAGTTTACTTTAGTATCTAGTGAGATACTAAAGTAAACTATCAGTAGTGAGAAGATGAGCACTAGTGCCGCTTCAACTTGTATGTCTAGCTGGTGTTACGGTTGTCCGTAGCATAGCCGTGGATTCTGCCCTTCCTACAGTCTTCAGTGTCAGCATGCTAACGCTTCAGCATCAACAATCACCAGCAATACATTCCAAAACGAAGTGTCCAGTCTCTCCTCCCCCTCCCCCATACGATTGGTTCCAGCACCAGCAGTCCTGGAACACTGACTGAGACCAGACAGGAAGAGAGATCCTTCCCCCCCCCCCCCAACCCCCCTACAGTCCACGAGAGCCGCCCATCTGCAGCTTGCCGGCTCCCATATCACCAGCTATTAATGACCATTACTCTGCCGTCTTCTCATTCCAGGCCCCACCACTTCACCTATCTGACGTCATTACCCTTTATATAAGCACTGGCCGGCGGCTTCATCGAAGTCTTAAGGGCTCACCATAGCCCATGCTACTTGGTACTTTTTGTTCTGAGTAGCTGAATCTAAAACCACGACACCAACTGCTTCATCGAGCAGAAACCCTTCTGGTGCACATATAGGTCATGTATCTTCCTTCGCCTCCATGTTCATAAGACGGGTGACGGTAAACGCTTAGAGCATTTTGAATAAAGTAAATCCTTCACCATTATTATTAACATGAAGTAACTTGTATACATTTTTTCTTTGTGTTAAGGCAAGTGGTTCAGGGTTTTGTCACTAATTGTTTAATATTATTTTCTATATAATTTAAATATATTGTTGTTAAGGTGTGATAAAGTAAAATATTTAAAGTGTTTATTTTCTTGTTTATTAACAGCGACTTACACACCATAAAAGATTCACAGTTTTATTTGATTTGTTTTATTAATGTGCGTTTGGCACACAACACCAAAAATAAAAACTCTATTACTTGGGGTTAATGGAAAATGTATTACAAAAGAGCATTTCCTCTTCATCAGTTCAACTTATCCATCGTTAACCTAATCTTATATACCTGGATCTGAACTTAATTTTGCATCATGTTTTTTTCAGAACCTAACCTAACCTAACCCATAACAAAGAGGTTTAGACCCCCCCCCCACCTTACCTCAAAATTATACTATAGGGATAATTATATTTAGCTTGCTCTTGTGATGGAGAGCGGCTACATAGGGTTAAATGTAAGGATATGGGTGCTGTAATCTTGGAAACTGGGTATGATATGACAAGACTGGATGTTGAATATTGGAAATATACATTAAATTTAAATAGAATAGTTCAAACTTGGATAAATTGGGCTTTGGTTGTGCTATGATATGGTAAATTTGGGTAAATTTGGTGGAAATTGTCTCAAATTAGGTAAATTTTAGGTGGGACAGCATAAATGCGGCTAACTTAAATAAAGTCTAGCTTTGGATGATCTAGGGCAGGTTGTGTAGGGTAGGATATACAATATCTTAGGGGTAATGAACTAGCTTGTTCATAAAATAATGTAAATTAGTCTATTTGGGTTTGAGTTATAGCTAGCTCATGTAATGGATGGACCAATGTAACATAGGTTTGTATGTGAGGATATGGAATGCATATTATATTTATAGTTAGTATATATTTAGTTAGTTTCATTTTTGTTTGGTTGAATTTGGTTAAATTTGTGTAGTATAAGTATAATTTTTACTAGAGTTAGATAAATTTTGGTTCTTATAGGATGCATTTTTAATAGAATATGGTAAATTTGCTTAAATTATCATGGAAATTTCTGACTACACCTAGCCACACCTGCCCAAAAGTAACATAACTAAGGCTAAATCCAATAAGTCTGTAGGATGGTTTGCCTGAATAAATATGGGTGACGTGATTGGAGAGGATGTAACAAGGGGGTTATTAATAAGGTATTAAAAACAATGGACGTATGTTAGATGAATAGTTTAGCACTAATAATGTTGAAACAATTATGGAAAATATATGTATTTTTTATATTGAGTTCATAGGATGTCAGGTGTATCATTCATATATGTGTCATTCTTACTTTTTGGGGATAATTTTTGGTTAAACTTAGCATATTATAATTGATGTCCTGAACATACCTAGAAAAATATCATATAAATCGTGTATTGATTGATCAAGTTGGGTGTGATTGTTTTTGTACAAATATCACAATGATTATAATTGTGCAAATTCTGTATTAATTGCACAGGTTATGTATTGATAGTATTTAACATAAGTTGTATGATGATTGCAGTTATACATTGAATATATTCCCACAAACTGAGTATTGGTTGTGCAAGTTAGGTAATAATTGTATGTCTGGTAAGTGTATATGTGGGAATTATGTAGTTGTGTATTTAATGTATATGAGCTAAATGTGTATTGTTTGTAGTTATGCTAGTTGTGTAAATGTCATACCTTGAGTGCACATGCAATCATTGTGTAAAAGAAATATTTTTGTGTGCAGCTGGCATATTTTGTATGTAAATGATATATTTTGTCTATAAATGGTATATTTGCTTGTAAATGGCATATTTTGTGTGTAAATAATATGTTTTGTGCATAAACGACATATTTTGTGTGTAAATGTTGTATTTTTTGTGTAAATGGCATATCTGTGTGTAAATGTCATTCTTTGTGTGTAAATATCATATTGAGTATAAATGCGTATGTGTTTTATACTGTGTATTTTGATATCGTGTATTTTTAGTGTAAGTATAAGTGTAGCATTTTGTATGAATGGAATTAAATTAATATATTTTAGTTGGCCTGATCACAACCTTTTTATTAATAATTAACAGTATCCGGCGGTGCATTGCTGTGGCTCAGCAACGCTAGCAACCCTCCCCTGTCCCCTCGTCCTCCCCACCATCCCCCAATCCCCCGTCACCTCGCTTTCCCCACCATTCCTCACTCCCCTGTCCCCTCATCCTCCCCACCATAACCCACTCCCCCCTCCCCCTCATCCACCCCACCATCCCCCCTCCTCAGTCCCCTCATCCTCCACACCATCTCCCACTCCACTGTCCCCTTATCCTTCCCACCATTCTCCACTCCTCCCATCCCTTC